CACACACACACACACACACTCTCTCTCTCTCTCTCTCTCTCTCTCTCTCTCTCTCTCACACACACACACACACACACACATACACACACTCACACACTCACTCACTCACTCACTCACTCACTCCACCTCCCACCCTGGCCCTAGGCTGAGAGGCTCCACAGCTTCTTTGAGGAGGCAGGGAGACTTGTGCCAATCCAAACAGGCTGTGGTGTCTGCCTTCCTGTTGTGGCTTTAGCCCCTGCAGGGCCTCAGTGCCCGCCCTAGACCCCCACCCTGGGCAGGAGCACCACAAATTCCTGGTCCAGTAGGCTGACACCTCCCACCAAGAAGCAGGGACTGAGGGCCACACACAGCCTAACAGGAGCTCCTGGACACTGAAGACACACCTCTAGCCTCCCACCACTTCAGGGACAGAGCTAGAGCTTGGGTGCAGGTCTCAATGGGTGAAGACAGCAAAGGGACCCAGTCTTTCTCCCTGGGCTCTGGCCACCCCAAACAACACCTTCCCTATATTTCCTGCCTTGCCCCTTTAGGTATTTCTGTTAGAGCTCCTGGGGCAGTGGAAACAGAAGGGACCTAATTGAGACCCAGGGAATGCTTACGGTGTGAACAAAGCACACCCACCCCAAAATGCTAGGAACCTCCAAGCACTGAGATGGTCCCAAGAACCCCAGCCTCAACAGCCGAAGAGCTTCTTGAGTTAGTCACTTCGGTTTCAGCCAGAGGCTCCAGGAGCTATTTAGACAGCATGTACTGGACACATGCCACATGTATGACCTGGGAGTTAACTATAGGCGTGTGTATATTCACACACCATACCCTAAGGGTGACAGACTGTCCTACATGAGCTAGCCAGAGGGCATAAGGCTGGAGTTCCTGGGGAGAAGTCACTTTCACCCCCTTCCCTTGGTTTATGGCCAGCCTTAAGTGGAGGAATTGAGACCCTCCCAGGGCACCCTTCTGGTCCTATCAGAGGTTTACAAATGGGGAAACTAAGGCTGTCATCTTAGTGCAGGCGGTAAAGCCAGCTGAAACCCAGCTCAGTGCTCCAGACCACACAGTACAGCACCCTCTTTTGGCTGGCTGTTTTCAGGGCAACACCCAAGGTAGGAGGGGCTGGGCGGCTATAACTTCAATCATGGGTTTCCTCCTTGTCCCCTGCCCTGAAGTGACCCCTCCTCTGGCAGGAACTGTGGCAAATGGGTTAGAAACTGCGTATGGGCACATCTCCTTCAATATGCTCTCCATCCTCCACCAGAGGCTGAGCACCCATTCTCATAAAGACATTGCCAGTCCAGAGACCAGTCGGTTTGTACTGGGTGAACACTAGCCCAGCCGGCAGGTACAAGTCACCCACATCTGTCTCCCACCACAGTACCACAACAGTTAGGGAAAGGTAGGGGCAGAAGCTGAGCCTGGGATCCTGGCCAGGGCTCTGGAGGGAAGTGAAGCACAGCATCCACCCGCCACACAAATACACAAATACACACACACACACACACACACACACACACAGAGAGAGAGAGAGAGAGAGAGAGAGAGAGAGAGAGAGAGAGAGAGAGAGAGAGAGTCCCACACACCCCTCTGTGGTAATAAGCAAAGCAAAGGCTGGGCAGATAAGCAACAGCCTGAAGTTCTCTAGCCTGGGCCATTTCTGGGAATCCAGGGAGCTGGAGCAGGAACTAGGGGAGGAGAGGATGCCACCACCCACAATAGGCACTGGAAGCTGGTGGGCTTTGGAAAGACACACACACCACAATACACTACACTACATACACACACACACACACACACACTCTCACAGGAATTCTAGGAATGTCAACTTGGCACAGCCTTCACTCCCCAACTCTCCCTAAGTAAACAAGTCTTCCAGAGGCAGGACCGAACTGAGCCCCTCCTCCAAGAAGCCTTTGGCCTCCACCCCATCCTTGGGGCCCACCCTACCGACCAAGTCCTAACCCACTCCCCTGCCACCCTCACCTCTGACCACCAGCAGTCTTGATCTGTCCTGATCTGGAGTCTGATCCCAGGCCACAGTGACTCACAGGCCCCCACTGCCCCTCTGGCCAGGGCAGGATGTTGGGGGAGGGGACAGGACCGGGAAGTGCCTAGCTCGTGGCTCTGCACGTGGCTCCTTGGGGGACGTCAAATATTGCTAGAGAGGCTGTGCAGGGTGACAGCGGGGGCATAACCACCAAGTTGGGCAGTGGCTCGGGCCAGCCACACGCAAGATCCAGAGGGCCCTTCTTGACCTCTTCTGCAACGAAGGAGAGTACAGCTTTTGTACTCTCCACAGAGGAGAGGCTTCACTCTAACCAGACTTCAAACTTCCCAAGCTCTACGGATCTTTCCAGCTTCTCACTGCATGCTGCCTCGTCCTCCCAAGGACGTCCTCCCTCCACCCCCGGCCCCGCACAGCAAGAAGGCGCTGCGGTGAGGGTGATATAGTCCCCAAGACTCTTCCCTTAAGTCCTTAGGTCAACTCCAGGTGAGGCAGTCCTGTGGCCCCCAGCGGTCCCGCAGGCAATCTCCGCGTCTGAGCCAAGTCTCTCAGGAGAAAAAAGTTAGAAGGCCTGTTCATAGGGTGCCTCCTACAGGACGCCTTCCCGGACCACCACCCTGCTCTCTCCTCGGGGAAGACTTTCCTAGTTCCTTCTCAAGAAAGGAGAGGACTGCAGGACGCGGGAGGACGCTGTCGGGACCCGGGGCACAGTACGGCCGACGGTTCCGCAGCGGCGGAAGGGAAGGGACGTCCCAAACTCCGACTCTAGCTGGGCACCTCGGGTAAGGGCTCCAGACCGAGACCCCTTGGAGTCCGGGCCAGGAGGCGGGAAGACCGCAAGGCCCCGGCCGCGCCACCACCACTTGTTGCCATCATCGAGCCGGCGGGACCCCAGCCCGCAGACCCGCCGTACCTGCGCGCGCCGCCGCTCCGCGGAGCAGCTGTCAGTCAAGCAGACACGAGAAACGCGAACCGCCGGCGGAGCGGCCCTTTCGGCCTTGCTCGGACGCCGTAGCGCCGGGATGTACCACCACGGAGGGAGGGGGCTCCCGGGACGCTGCTGCCGGACGCAATGGGCCCCGCGCTATGGACGCGCCTGGGCGGGCCTTGAAATCCCGCTGCCGGCGGCCTGCGCGCCAGACGCCGCCATGATCATCCCGGTGCGCTGCTTCACCTGCGGGAAGATCGTCGGCAACAAATGGGAAGCCTACCTGGGGCTGCTGCAGGCCGAGTACACCGAGGGGTGAGGCGGCGGGCCTGCGGGGGAGGCGCGGGAAGGGGCCGGGGGGAGAGCTCTGCGGCGGACCCGGGGGTAAGACTGAGGTTCCCCGGGCCGGGGGATAGATGAAACTTTTGGATGGAGAATTGGCTGGGATCCGGCCCACGGAAGCAGGTCGGGTTGAGGGATCAAGTGAGGAAGAGGGTCTCCGGCCCCGAGAGTAGGGAACTATGCGTTCGTTAGGAATTTCAGACTCTGGTTATGCTCCAGCCCAGCCCTGTGATGTATTCCCGGGAAGACTGAGTCTCTCTTTAGTATGTTTTCGAGGCAGGGTCTCTGTGAAACCCTAAGTGGCCTGCAACTATGTAAATCAGGCTGGTCCTGAACTCAGATAACCTCCGCCACCCTCCTGAGTTATTGGGGTTAAGGCGTGCACTGCGGCGCCCAACCTCTCTGAAAATTGGAAGGTGGGTTTCAAGCTGCTGTCCTTCCTAATCCTAACCCTAACTTCTGAGTATCCTTCCCATAGGTGACAGGCACCTCTTCATCCGCAACAGAACACTCGCGTGTTCTCTGTCTACCTACTCCTAACCCGTGTCTGCTTTCAGGCTTACTTCTTATTTTTTTATTTTATTTTTTTGTGTGTGTGGTTTTTCGAGACAGGGTTTCTCTGTGGCTTTGGAGGCTGTCCTGGAACTAGCTCTTGTAAACCAGGCTGGTCTCGAACTCACAGAGATCCACCTGCCTCTGCCTCCGGAGTGCTGGGAATAAAGGCGTGTGCCACCAACGCCCGGCTTCAGGCTTAATTCTAACCTTGGGAACCTTTTAAAACACAGGGCAAAGCTAGGCGGTGTTGGCACACGCCTTTAATCCCAGCACTGGGGAGGCAAACACAGTCCTATCTCTGAGTTCGAGGCCAGCCTGGTCTACAGAGTGAGTTCCAGGGCAGCCAGGGCTGTTAGACACAAAAACCCATGTCTGGAAGAATCAAAATAATAAATTAAAAAATAAAAAGCTGATATTCAGGCTTTGTGGGTATCTTCTTGTGCTGTCCCTTCCCACTGCAGTCACTACCATGTTACCCATAGTAGTCAGACCTCTGGCCACCCCATGTTAACACCAAAGGGTTCCCTTTCACAAGCCATAAGTCAATGGGGCTGAATGGGAAGCTACAATGAGCTGCATGGGTGAGTAGCTGCTAACCTTCTGGGATCCTCTTTACCTGGGCAAGAACTTCCCAAGCTGATTAGGGCCCAGAGAAATTAAACCTAGCTGGTTTGCAACCTGGATGTGGGGTATGGATCCAAGGAGGGAAGCAGCAGCCAGTTCACAGCATTTGCCCAGAGTCTGCTTAGGGCCTGGAATTGAGCTCCTTAATGAGGAGGTATTGATCTCCTAAGCTTCCTCCAAGCCCATAAAGCTATCCCAACCCTGGATACAAGAGCCAGAAGCAGAGGTAGGGGGCTAGAGAGATGGTTCAGCTGTTAAGAGCACTGGCTGTTCTTCTAGAGGACCCAGGTTCAATTCCTAGCACCCACATGGTGGCTCACAAATGTCTGTAACTGCTTTGGGCTTTGGCAGGCACCAGGCATGCATGTACAAAACACCCATAACATATAAAGTGAAATTTAGAAGGCAGGTAAGGATGTTGGGCACTGAAGACTGGCTGTGGGCATATACATGGGATAGGTGTAACCTGATGAATCAAGTCTACTTCTAGGTGAGAAAGGGACTCACCAGCCTCCACCCTAAGCATCTGGGTGCATAGTTCAGAAATCTCCAGGCCATTTCCCTGAGGTGTGCTGTCAGGTTTCAGTCCCCATTTATGTAGAGGTACTCTGGTAACCCCTGCCCACAGTAATACACAGAGGACCTATGCAGACTATAGGTACCATAACCAGCGTCACTCCTCTCTCCTCCTTACAGGGATGCCCTGGATGCTCTGGGCCTGAAGCGCTATTGCTGCCGCCGCATGCTGCTAGCACACGTGGACCTGATTGAAAAGCTGCTTAACTATGCTCCCCTGGAGAAGTGAAGTCTGGAGTTTACCCTCCTCCTCTGCTGGCCATGGACAATCTTAATCATGCTGAATTCAAACTGAGGTGTTGGGGAGGTGGGTGCATTGCCTGGCTTTGGCCCTGTGGCCTACATCCCCTCACCCTGGAAGAAACAGTTCAGTAAAGACGTTAGCAGAAACAACAGGTCTAACTTTATATAAGACCCTCAACATCATGTCTATGCTGTCTTTGAGGTTACCTGGCCTGGATCCAGTCTTTTTCCCCAGGACTGTTCTCCTTCCCCTCACCCGACTTGGGAGTCCAGTCTTATGGGAGCCCACTGCTTCTGTTTCTCTGGGCCTTGCCCTGTTTGATCCACTAGGTAACCCTACAGTACAATCTTGCACTCATTGCCCTAGGGCCTCATCTTTTCCTGCCAGTGCTCAGGGTGGGCAGGGTAGATGTGGCCACACCATCCATCCACAAGGCAGGGCCCAAGCCTGGGAGGTTACTCCTTTGGAATACTGAAAGTGCTTGGAGGCCCACTCAATTGTCCCACCACCATGGTATAGAAATTATTTTTATGTGTGTGGTGTTTTGTCTGCTTGTATGTCTTTATAATTGTGTACCCATAGAGACCAAAAGTTACAGACAGTATTGAGCTACCATGTATTCTTTTTGGTTGTTGTTGCTGGGATTAAAGACGTGCACCACCAACACCCTTAACCTCTGAGCATTTGCTCTCCCTGCCACTCAACCCAATCCCCACAGGAGTGGAAAAGTCCCAACCCTAAGAAACCTACTCGAGTTCGAGGTTAGCCTGGTCTCCAGAATGAGTGCCAGGATAGGCTCCAAAGCTACACAGAAAATCCTGTCTCAAAAAAAACAAAAAAGAAACCTACTCGAGGCCCATTTAAGGCTCTGGTTCCTAGGTAGTTGCAGTAAATATCTCAGGGTTCTTTTTTTAGCACATTGATCCCACTGAGATTTTTGTTGTTCTGGGTTTTTGGTTTTGTTTGACTGGTCTGAAACTCAGCAATCTGCCTGCTTCTCCTCCCTCTCTTGAGTGCTGGGATTAAAATGAATCGCATGCACACACCCACGCTAGTTTTTAAAGAGGAGAAAGTTTTGCCTTAGACTGGAGTCAGGGGGCCCCTAGGACTCCATTCCTCCAGCTAAACTAAACAGCATAGGACTACTGGGGACAGAGAATCAGCTCTTATATTTTTGGTTGTGAGCCTAGCCTTTAATGGCTGAGCCCAAGAATGAGCTCTTAAGGTACATTCTGAATATGAGCAATCCTTTGCCTGGCCAAATCCAGGCCACAGTGAGCTGGAGGCTCACCAGCTACCAGAGGTCAGCCTAGCTGCCCTGCTACTAGGCTTCCCCATCTTTGACTCTTACGAGTACTCCAGCTACCCTGGACCCTAAGGTCCTGTCAGCAAACTGACTCAACTGTTCATATATTTATTGAGCACCTGTTACAAAGCAGGAGCATGTGTGGGCATCAGGGTTACAACAGTGGATGGAAACAGCCATACCCCCGTTCAGAGATGTTCCAAAAGGAGACAGTATATAGGAACATGGGGCATTTGCACAGTGTTATCAGAAGTGGGGGAGAGCCAGGGCTGAGGATGTTAGGAGCAAGAGAAGCCTGGATGGAAAGGACGGCATATACAGTGAGTGGGGTTGGAGTTCCCCTCGGGTTGCCCCATTGCTTTGGAGCAAGCACATCTGAGTGTTCCCAGCAGCAGGCATGAAAGGTACCTAGACCACCCAGAATGGCCTTTCCCACCTGCTTCTACCCACCATGCAAGTGGTAAACCCATGTTCTCCCCCAACACTTAATGCAAATCACAGCTACCCAAGGAAAGTAGCCTGTGGGCAAGAGGCACTTTTGTCAAATAATCTAAACCCAATTCTACCAGGTAGGCCTAGCCCAACACTGGCATACCTGCCCCCTCTTATCCTGGGGCAAGTACATTGCCTCAAGCCTTGGTACTTTGGTATGCAGTGAAAGGCACTTGAAGCTACCCCTGAGGTGGGGTTGTAGTGATGGCATGAGGACAGCTACCTCTCTGGCAGTCAGCAGTCTAACTCAGTAGTACTTCGTAGTGGGGTGGGACATAGTGCAAGGCTGGCAGCCTGGCCTGGCACCATGGTCAGTAGTGTTCCAACTTGAGGCTTCTGTATAAGCAGCAGGTGAAGATCATGCCGAAGACCTGCATGGGACCAGGCTGGTGTAAAAAGGCTGTGGGCCACCAGCCACCCCAGTGTTCCCACCTAGTCACCTCTGTTTCCATACCTGTACACAGGCGATGCCGATGCCCACAGCCCCAATGACCCGCAGGTGCTCCTGAATGAAGGTCTCCAGCTTACTGATACAGCCACCCTAGTGGGGAGAGAGTGGTGGACCTTGCTGGCTCCCATATGCAGCCCTATTGGACCAGGCTGCCCTAAGATGTAGCCAGACCGGAGACACCCAATCAGTCTAGCCCTTTGCTCAGCACCCACCTACCTCCACTTTATAGATGTTGGAGGCATGGTCCCGCCTACCACAGCCAGGTACCACAGTCTTACAGCAGCTGTCAGGAACCACACGGTTTTCTGCCTCACCAGAGCGGATCCATTCACTGTCTCTCCAGTCTTGAGAGTTGTTGCTGCCACAACAGTGGAACTGCAAGGGGGTATGTGGCTGAGCCCTACAGCCTGCCAACATATAGCTCCATACTGGGAAAGTGGAGAGTTATAGGGGACACCCACCTCTTGCTGTAGCTTATCTACAGCATTAGTCACACCCTTGTGGCCTGACTGGTGGTATTTCTTGGTCATGGTGTCCTTGAGATTCTCCTTGAGCTCTGTGTTCAGCTGTGGGTAGGATCAAAGTCTAAGACCCCCAAGGGCAAAACTAGAGTCAGGACCCCCAGTGGGACTGACAAGACTAGAAGAGCCACCAAGTGGGCAAGCAAATGAGTGACACTGTCAACCCCATGCATACCTGCCTCCCCATAAGTCCCAAAGCAGCCCTGGGATCCACCTGCCTGTGTGCACACCTGTTCCAGACGTACCCCATGTCCAGTTCAGGCCCTTACCTGCTGGTAGTAGACATAGGCCAGGATGCCAGCAATGATCTCCAGGAGGAAGATGATGAGGAGCAGGATGAAGTACTAGGAAGCAGGGACCCAGTGAGTTGGGGTTCCTAGTGCCAGAGCACCACAAAGCAAGTCCCAACCCAAGAGGCCAAGCAGGAGGAATCCAATTAGCAGCTACAGGCTTGGGCTGCCCAACTCCTGATACTTCTCTGGGCTGGTGTATACCCTCAGCTGGTCCAGCTGGGGGGATGCCCCAGAGAGTTCAACAGGGACAGCCTGCAGTAACATACTTAACCAGAATCAAGCCCCAGAACCAGTACCAGAAGCCCCTGAGAAACCCATGCCAGTCACCCCCAGCCCCATGCTTCACTTGTGCCACCAGGCCCTGCTGACCAAGCGTAACAGGTTCCGTCGCTCCTTGAAAGTGGCACAGCAGCCCAGGACTCCGGTCACCATGACAACGCCACCAGCCACCACTAAGATGTAGGCTGTGGCTAGATAGGTGTTTGAAGCCAGCAGACTAATGTAGTCACTCTTGAGTACCAATGTCCAAATGCCCACTGCCATGACGGCCAAGCCGGCCAGCTGCAGGAAATATGTACTGGTCACCACATCTGGCCTGGGTCTGGAAGCTGGGGCCAAGCCCCCAGGCCAGGCCTCCAAGATGAGGAAGAACAGGGATGTAGGGAGAGTCACTTCTCACCCAGAAGCAGCAGTTGTAGGTGAACAGCAGGTACTTGAGGCAGACTGTGCCACATGTTGCCTTCTTCTCATTGAATTCACCCATGCTGGGCCTGCAGAAACGTGGAGGAGGTCAGATGGCTGGGAGCACAAGGCCTCCAGCTAGCAAGAAAGCTAGAAACCAATGGGAACAGGAGAGGATGCAGCAGTTTGGATCTCAGCCAGCTATCAGCCTTAAGAGGAACCTTCCCAGGAACTATGTATGAGTCACTTCCTGGACAACTGATCAGGTCTAACACCCCTCCTAGCAGCCAGACACCCATATTGAATTGCATGGAGGACCCCCAACCATCTGCTGACTCACTCCTGCTGGCAAGGGGTGGGGACTCTTCAGGATGTATTCCTGTGGATTGCCACCCCCACAGCATTCCCTGACCCTATATCATCACGGGACTGACTGTTTAGCATTAATACCCCAGATGTGGCAGAGAAGCAGACCTCAGGTAGACAGTGAGGGCTCTGTGAGTAACCTCTCTACTCTCTCTCATCCAGGGCAGGGACAATAGAGGTGCCAGTAGGTGGAGCCTACACAATCAGCTCCCCTCCAGGCTGAAGGAGGCCTTCAGTTCCATAGACATGGATGTGCCATTCCCCCAAAAGTCCCCTAGGCACAAACTGCCCTAAACACACTAGTGTCTGCACTGTGGACAGTCTGCAGTACAGACCTCAGCTGAACACCCCAGGACCGGTTTTTAGACAGGCAAGTGTACAGGACTTCTCACCTGCCACCTGCGGGCTCCGTCCAAGCACCAGCACTCACCTCTATAAGTCAGAAGGACCAGCAGGTACAGGTCAAAAGTCAGTGGTCTGCCCTTCACCTGGCAGATGGGATCTTGCCACTCCTATGGTGGCTGAAGCAGTGGTCAGAATGATTTCCAGAGCCACCAGATCTGGAAGCAGGCATAACAGTCAGGTCTATTTTCTTCTGGACCAGGGTGGGGCAGAGGACATTGCTGGCCAGCTTGATCTAGGGAGGGACCAAATGCCTTCTCCAGGTGCCCCACCCTCCAGACCCATCCATCACTGTCCCTCCCCCACCAAACAGCATCGACTGCAGACTGGAGGAGGAGAGCATCAACTGTCCACCCCTGGGGATTACAGACCTCCATTGGAAATAGGACCCAAATACACGCTACCTCACTGAGGAGGGGCATGACACAAACTGAGGCCCGACTACAATGCAAGCCTCGGGTCCAGGCTCTAAAAGCCGAGAACCTATGCGGTGCTGCTTCTGAATACTTCCAGCAACCTAAGCCAAGGCACAATCAGCAGACTGAATGTTAATTTCCTGAGAAATGGCCGGCGTAGGAGTCGCAATCAGCCAGAAATAGCTCTTTCGGCCTGAACAC